TCCAGTTTACTTTTTGAAGAAGATCCTTGAAATTCAGATTGTCCTTGATAGGAAAAACATCCTGATTACAGCTACTACAGCAGATTGAACCCACTGATAAAACAGAAGTCAGCTAATGATTTGCCAAGCACCGACCTCAGAGGTGAGGGCCGAAGGAGACTGGGTGCTGTCAAATGGGCACCAGCTGCTGGCCTGAGCCCAGAGCTTACACAACCAGGCCGGCCACACATGACTACGGTGCTCAAAGTCTGTTGGAGGGGATCGGTCCCTTAAAAACCGTATTGGAAAATTCCCAGTAAGTTCTTTCTAAAAACGGTACAGGGAGCCACACTGGGTGTTGGTGGCCAGCTCAGCCATTCATGAGACATCTGTGCTGAAGTTTTAAATGCAGGGCACTGATGCTGCAAGTATGAACATACCTCAGTGAATAAGCATAAGGAGGTTGCAATTATTTTTTTTAAATGGAATTCCATGAGAATCTGGTAGAGCTTACCAGTGGTGAGTAGGGCCTAAGGGGAGTGTGATTGTAGGCCCCCCACACCTGACAGGGAACTAGCCTTCAGCCTGTCGAAGGATCAGTTTCTGCCAGCCCCCTCAGCAGGTACTAGGAACTGTGCCCTGGAGTTACACCTGGGTGGGTAATATGCCTGTGGCAAAGCAGGCAGTCTTAGAACAGCTGACTTCTGAGGTCTTGGTCTGGACTTCTGTGATGGAAATGCCTAAAAGCTGAAGGACTGGGGTTTTTGTCTCTAGTCCTCAGTTCTCTAATGCTGAGACAGAGTTATAAGACTCCCTAGACTCAGGACTGCTGGGTTGCTGAAACACTTAAATGGTGATTCTTCTTCTCCCTAGGGAATTTGGGTGCCCGACTGATGTGCAGACAGAGTGGGGAGGAAGGGGAAAGCTGGCTCTTCCAAGCTGACCCCATCTCAGCACCATCCTCCAAGATTTTAAGGTGGCAGAACTCAGAGTCAGAACCACCAGTTCTGACATCCCAGGATCTGATGTTCCCTAGTTCCATGACTTTGGCAATTTGTATCCTTTGCATCTCTTAGAGCCTTGGTTTCACATCTATAGAATAGCAGTAATAATAGCACCTCTCTAATGGTATTATAAGAATTAAATGCGATCAGGTAGATTATGGGTTTAGTGGAGTGCCTGGCTCTTAGGAAATTCCTAAATTATTGTCACTATTGGCCAAAGAGTAGGAGGGGTGAGACTAGAGATTGCTCATCCAAGATCAATCACTGTGTTTGTTACTGTGTTTGACACTTCATTCTATATGGGTGTTCTGGCAGCCATTTTCTGTTTTTCTTCAGTGGATAAGTGGTACTGGTATTAACATTATTAGCACAACAGATTGGTTTTGTCTTTCTGTCACTCATTTTATAGGTTGCAAGACCTATACACAAATGCACCTTTCATTTTGGAAAGAAAGAAAGAAAACAATAAATCAATTCCTAAATAAATTGTGAAACAAAACCAAAAACTCTGACAATAATTATAGTAGAGTATGGCTAGACAACCTACATCATATGTCAGTGACTGAATATTACTTAATCACTTCAAATGGCCAGTCTATGGGAAATGGGGATGTATAAATAGAATACTGTTAGTTGGAAAAGAATGATCTATAATTAATTGATTATAGTTTTGTTAGTGGTTCTATGTATATTAACAAAGAATAAGAAAATTTGAAGGGAAAGGCTCTTTTTCTCCAAAATTAAGTCTATAAAATATTTTAATCATGAATAAGAAAAAAACACAGTGCTCTATAAATTAGTTTTAGGCAGGGCAAATGGAATTAGAATAATTATAGCAATCCATCTAAGGCAGTCCCTTGACCAAAACAGACAAAATGAGTAAGCCCTAAATAGGTGAGGGCTTCTATCAGAATGTCATAATGTAAATCTGGAACACATTACCTAGAGACACTCCATCCGTACAGAACATCTTTTTACAAGACACTTAGACACTGTCCTCTTATCACTGACCCACCCACTTTATACCCAAAGGAAATAACCACTGGCTCTTCACAGAGGAAACACTGAATAAGTATTGGAGCTTTCTGAAAAATCTACTCTGATTTACCCAGGACATCATTTCTCCCATTTTCATAAGCTTAGCAAGTGGAGAATGAAGTTCTAATCACTCTGGCCCTGGTTCTCTCTACTCTCCACACTTACACAGCTATTGTCACCGGGGCCCACAGCTGACGAGCTTGTTCTGGAAGCTCAGGGGACAGAAGTCCGCATCACTCTGGGAGAGAGATGCCATGAAATAGTGATAGACTATTCTGAATGATAAGGAATGTCTGCACAAGTAGGAAATGCTGCTTTAATGTATTTATTGCAATACAGAGTAACATTTAAAAAATTGTGTGAAATTTTAATGAAAAGTCTTTCATATGCAACTTTTTCTTTCATTTGGTCATTTCAGAAGAATTTATGGGACTAACAGATAACACCAAGAAAAAAAACGTTATCCTCTGATTACTTTTCTGGGAATTTAGCAGCAGAATGCGTGGTCTAGAGTTCTCTGAGAAGGTGATTTTAGAACCACTTGTTTGTCCTATTCTTCTTGTCCAATTGATTATTTTTAACTCTTAGTTTAGTCAAATAAAATTTGCCTTTGTTATCAAGGCATACTTCCCCCCAAGAACCTTGGAATATGTCTGCATATCCACCCCCAGAACCCTTTCCACCAGCCTGAACAAGACATAGCAGGTGAGGGGATGAAGACTGCAAAAAAAATACAAAAAGAGCAGTGGTAAAAATGAGTCTTATTTTAGATTAGGAGTCTTCTGTCAAGAAAGAAAGAAAAAGGGTGCTCCAAAGGGCAGGCTTAAGAATGGATTTGAAGAGAGAAGCCTTGATTTTAGTCTCAGTGACTAGGTGTGCCCTGCAGGCTGGTAACTGAAAATCTTACCTATCAAAAAGGGGATTGGAATTGACTTCTGAGATCTAGTTCTAACCTTCAGTGATTCTAAATTCTGTACTTCCTAATTTCCTGGCTTCAAATCTTGTACACACTACACCCCATTTCCTGCCTTCCTGAGAAGCAGCACAGAAGGTCCCACTCCCAAGTAGCCATTGGCCCTGACCTTGGCGAGTCATCTCGCCTTTCTGGGTCTTTAGCCAGTCAGGCATGAGGAGGGTGGAGACGCCTGGCCGCTTCCTGCCTGTCTCACAGGGGTTGTAAAGGCCAGTGCAATTTTACAAAAGATGAATTCCTCCAAGGAAGACCCTGCCTGAGTAAATTATTTCAATGCTTCAGCTGTAATTATTGCTATAACAATATATGCTCAGGAATCATGAGAGATGAGAAGAGAAGAAGCAGATATAAGTATACCTTGGATTTATGGCAATAGAGTGTGGAAAGAGTCTTAGAAGTCATCTAGGGACTTATTTCATTTACAGGAAAAGACATGGAAATGGAGAAAGTTTAAGTTGTGAAATCAAGGTCATCAGCCTAATAACATGGTATGGAGCTGGAGCGTTTTGATCTCCTGGCTCCCAGCCCAGGGCTCTTTCTAGTACATCAAAATGGAGGTCCTGGAACTAGATTTTCCCTCCAAGCTGGCTCCAGGAGCTGTGTGTGTCTGCAAGGTCTACCCTGGTTCAGTGAAGAAAATTACCCGGTCAGGTAAAAATACCCAACAATCAGATGAGCCTCAGAAATTCCCTGCTCCCCCTGACCCTCATTCCCACTTAATCACAGGGCTGGACGCAGTCTGTTTTGAAACAGAACGGCAGCTCCGAGAAACCCCAAAAAGCCCTTTCCCTAAGAGCCACACTCGGGTTGTACGTATCTCCCTGGTCAGGATCTAGGAAAACAGCAGCACAAATGTCTCACTCCGGAGGCCTGAAACTAGGCTTAGAGATGGAGGGAGACATGCGCTGACACCTTTCACATTCCCAGATTTCCAGTTTTGTGATCCCGCTGCTTCCCCTGAGGACATCTGTTTTAATTTCACTTATTTATTCAACACCTTTTAACTAAACATTAACTCTGCAGGTCCTTTATTAGGGATGGGAGAGCTAGGAAGATTTAGGATTTCAGAGCCTTTGTCTTTGGGGGTACAGCATTCTTTGCTATAATTCTGTACAAAGTCCTGGAGTGGCTAAATGTTCTTTTTTTTTTTTTTTTCTTGAGAGGGGTCCTTAACAGTGGTCAAATCTCTTACCCCCTTAAAGGGTAGGACCACTGTAGTGGGCATCCTCCAGCACGTCATGCACCTGCCGCTCTCATCAGTGGCCTCGTCCCCAGGACTGAGTGTGAATATGTAAGGCATGTCTGCCCAAAGCACTGGAATTCTCTGTTGAACCTCAGGAAGCTGTGCCTGCCAACCGAAGTGCAGGCTTGTGGATGCTTCATGAAGGGCAATGTCCTCCTTCATGGCCTGACTTAGTAGCTGTGATCTGGAGCTCAGTGGGCCCCAGAGAGCTGGTGGCTAATGCATACACAGATTCTGGGCCACTTCCTCTCTCTCAAATCCCCCCCCCATTTATTTTTTTTTCAGCGGTGCTGGTGATTCTGAGCTTAGTGCTTCTAATGGGGATCAGGTTCAAGAATTTTCTCTTTATCTTGGGGATCCTGCCCTCCCTGAGCCTTGGGGAACCTCCTGGTCTCTGAGTAGCTGTTTGGGGGTCCTTTCAGCTATGTGGTTATGCCACTGTGTTCAAGTGACACCTGGTGTCTCCTTTGCCAGTCCTAGTAGTGATTTTATGGAAGGATGGCCTAGTGGATGCTCCCTGTGAGAACCTGGTGTCCGTTTCATGTGCTGTTTAATACAGAAATTCAGAACGTAATCATTCTAGTTGCTGGGAGAGGAGCAGAGGTGAAGACACACTGTCGTCAACACTAAGGCGCCAGGGATTCCCACACTGCAAGATCAGCACTTTTCTCTTTGCCTGGGGTGTATGTGAGTCTAGGTGGTTGTGTGAGAGGCTCACTTGCTGTAGATGATGTGCTGAGTTCTATCCTTTCTTCCTCTGTAGAGAGAAGACACGGTTCAATGTGCAGGCCTTCTCCTTCTCCAGCGTCTCCACCCTCCAATGCCAGGACATCACTAGCACAGGTGAAAACAAAAGCCTGTCTCAGCGGCCATAACTCTGCCAGCAGCACCTCAAAGCCATTCAAAACGCCCAAAGACAATCTACTTACCTCCAGTAACAAACAGCACACGGTCTTTTCTGCGAAAGGGTCAAGGGACAAACCATGGTGAGTGTTGGGTGCTGGCAGCCAGCAGCTGTCTACCCTCGCTGCTTGTCCCTGTCACCACGGGAAACAGTGTTTACCCTCTCTGGCTTTGTTCCTGTGCATTGTGTCTAGGAATTTGGGGGAACTGAGGAGGGAGGGAAGGGACAGAAAACCAGAATGAAATGCGAAAGGTAACATAGAGCCTTTAGGCGCCACATGCCTGTCAGGGGAATTGTTCCTTCTCATGAGAGATGAGCCAAGTAGTGACTAAGAAAGGGGTGACAAGGAAATATCCCCCAGTTATACGGTCATCTCTCAATTTTCCACCCCAGTGAAGAGAAGCATTGGTGTAAATAATCAAAAGCACAGGCAGGCAGCCCCATGGGGAAGACAGCTACAGGCCTGCACCACAGGCCCCCCACAGCGCCTCCCCACCGTGAGCAGCCAGGTCTTCACTCTGTGGAATAGCTGCCAGCAGAGGCAGGGAGTTGGGAGCTGGCCATGAGGGGGAAGAGAGAAATCCAAAGAGAATGTCACCCTTTTGGTGGGGTGGGAGAGAGCTGCTTGCAAGTAACTGAAAAATCAGAGGCTTTTTAATTCCTTTTTTTTTTAATCTCAGTCTTTACCAAAAGAGTCAGAAAAGGTTACCTGCAAAATGGACAGATAGGAAACTAAAATGAAAACAGGGAAAGGAAGCAAATGAGTATCCCCAAATGCTGACAGCCCCAACTTGCAGCATGAAAGGGCTGGCTTACACAGAGCCTCTAGCCTTACCTTTCCAGCCTCAGGAAGGCAGTCAGGGGATAAGCTGGAGTCCATCTAACTTGAATATTTAAGGGGGGAAAAGTGTCTGTAAATTAATGATAGTTAATTGCACTTAAGTCCATACCATAGAAAAACTGTGGGCTAAAATCATTCATTAATTGGTTTGTCACTGCATGTTGGAAATGGTGATGATTTTGTAAAGAGCTAATTACACCAGATCAATTAATGAGCCTCTAGTGACAGAGTGGGAAGGTTTAGACACATCTGTCAAGGAGGGCAGTTACCTGTCAAGTCAGTAGGCCTCATGGGCAAGCTTTGTTTTCTTCTGATTGTTCAGACCTGGGGTCCATCCTGTAGAGGGACACAGCTGTCAGTGGTGGGACTTTTTTTTTTTTTTTTAAATCTTGGTGTGCTTCAGTTTTCCTTATCTGTAAAATGGGACTAAAATAGCACTACCTCGTGGGCTTGTTAAAAGGATTAAGTGAGTTAATTTTTATAAAAGTGAGTACAATGTCTGGAGCAGAGTATGCATTTAATAAATATTTGGTGATCAAGTTATTATTATCATGTGTAAAGGTCAGAGCTCCTGCAACTTGGGATAAAGGTTGAGAAGTCTCTCTGAAAAAGTAGAGAAATGACTCTTCAGAGTGAGAATGAAGTTGAAATGGAAAAGGGTAAATGTCATTTATTAAGACTTCAGAAACATGCTGCAGAGAAAATGAGGAGAGCTAGGCAGGTACTGATGAAGAATAATCCAGATAGAGACTCGGGAGCCATGGAAGATCACAAAGAGAACGTGCTAAATGATGAACGAGAGTGCAAGGTGAGAGGCACACATGGGTTCAGGAATTCTCCTGGGAGGCATACCTTCCAGGAGGTGCAAGGGGCCACCCGTGTCCACCTCCCTTCAGACATGCAATATACTCACTTTTTTTTTTTTGAAGTTTTATGCACACAGAACAGGGGTACAGGCCAAAGGTGCAGGGGTGGTGGGAGGATTCACCAGAGACAGTGGGGCACAGAACAGGCAGATTGACAAAGCGCATTGCTGAGGGGAGCAGCAGGCGAGACAGGAGAGGTTTGTCACACCCGTGGGTCACCCCCCTGACAGGGGATCGAACTCACACTGAAGTGGCTGCAGCCAGCCTTAACTCACCAGGGAGTTGTGTCACCAGGGAGGGCCTCTCAATCCTCACTTATTAAGGTCTGCTGTGGTCAAGGCATCTTCCATTAGAGGCAGAAGGTGGTTCTGAAAAAATCTGAAGAACTAGTCAGGGCCCAGAGAAGAGCTGCCAAAAGGATTGCAAGGAGGGAAATAAATTAAGGGGTAAAAGGCTCTCCCCAAAATCTAGAGCGCTTATCTGTGTGAAGAGCAGAAAGCTAAAGGGTGATTTGCCTGAAGACAGAATAAGGGCAGCACCTTTTTGAGGAGACAGGATGCACCCATCTCCTGCTGTTCTCACCTCAGCTATTCACTGGTCATTGTCCCCTTCCCACCACTGCCAGGGACACGCGTCGGGCAGCTTTGGTGTGATGGCTTGGAGGGCCCAGGCTCCGTTCTGAGAGGCTTTCGCAAGAGCAGTGTGGGAGAGCAAGTGCTGAGCGAGGGGCAAGAAAAGCCAGTTCAAGTCCCAGCCTGGCCTCTACCTTTCTTTGTGACCTCGGACAAGTCACTTCACTTCTCTAAGTCTCATTCTCAAGTCTGAGTATTTGATAAATCGCAATCCTCTAAAAATCCTCCAAGAATTCATCATTGCCTACTGAACCATATTAATCCCTCAGCCTAGTCTAAGGGACCCTCTATAAACTGAATGCTAAGCCCCTAATCCAATCCTGATCATCAGTACATCCCATTACTCCAGCTTCTCCACCATGTCTTCCCGTGGCATTTGCCCAGAATATCTGTCTATTTTTACTCAAATTAACTCAGTGAACACCTGCTATCATAATGTGTGTCAATTCTGTGTCAAGCACTGGGGTTATACAGGCCCCCAGATAATCACCTGTGGTACCGTCGTGCAAATTAGAAAGAGGCCCAGATGCAGGCTGTGTTAGGGTGCTCAACTGGATAATGGTCTTCACCCCCCACTCTCCTCCTCAACCAGGCATCCTGCGGTGTGGGGGTGCCACGTTAAATAAGACACAGGCTCTGTCATACAGAGGCTATGAAAAGAGACCTGAGTTAACAGAGTGCAGTGTGGTGAGGCATTGGTTCTGGTAGCACAGAAGGGCACCTGGACTAGAGCTGAGGACTCAGGAAAGGGCTTTGAGAAGAGTTTACACTTGAGATAAATTTGAAGAATAAATAGAAATGAGCTAGACAAAGGAAATCTGATTAGAGTGGCAAATGTTATATGTTGTATGCATATTAATACAGTAAAATAATTAACAAAGTGGGAAATGTAGCTCAGGCAACAGGAACAGAATGTGTAGAAATATTTTCATATGGGAAGAGGCAAGATGAAGCTGGGTAGGTGAGTGAAAGGCAGATTACAAAGTTCCCTTGTATGTGCTACATTTAAAAATTTGGACTTTACCCTGAAAGCTGCATGTAGCTGTAAAAAAGTTTTTGAGTGCAGTAAGGTGACCCTAGCAACAGGATAAAGGGTGGCTTGAGGGGTTTTTAAGAAGTGGGAACAACAGTGAGGACAGTCTGTGTAGCCAAGTGAGGCACACTGACAGCCTGCCTAGGTCACGTGTGTGTAGAAGGGCTCAGAATGTGTGTGGGTCACATGTGGTTAGAAGGGCCCAGGGTGTGGGGGGTCACATGCGTGTAGAAGGGCCCAGGGTGTATGGGGTCATATGTGTTTAGAAGGGCCCAGGGTTTGATGGGGTTCACGTGTGTTTAGAAGGGCCCAAGGTGTTGGGGGGGAGGGAGGAACCACGGGCAAGATTCAGCAGGACTTGGGTGCTGCTGTGTGCACAGCTTCAAAACAGTGGAAGCTTAATATGATGTCGAGTTACCTGGCTTGGACAATGGGGTAACTGGTTCTTTCACATCCTCACGAGAAGCAGAGAAAGGGCCAGAGTATACAGTAGGGAGGAGAGGACTCTAGGCTGAGAGCATCTGAGGACCTACCTAGAACACTGAATGAACACTGAATGTTCGGATCCAGATGTCGGGAGATTGGGATGGACCGGGAATGGGACTGGGCTGGGAATGGGAATTTCTGAGTCATCACTTTAGACCCAGGCACTGAAGCCACAGGTATAAAAAGGGCCACTGAGAGCGGTCCGTGGCTTGAGAAGAGCAGGAACCAACAGCAGGACCCTGGAGAATGGAGGACTAAGGGAAGAGGAACCTGAGGGAGCAGGACTGCTACGCCCTTGTTCTTTCCTCGGCCTCCTTGCCTCCTTTCCTCTCCAAATCCTCACTGTTCCTCACTGCTCACTCCGCCAGCCGCCTCCTTCTCAAGCCTTTCTCTCCTCAGTCGCCCTGTTGCCCACCACCTGATTTGCTGGGTTCTTCTTTTTGGTCCCCATGCACTTCAGTGGTGCCATAAGTTAGACCTGTACCCGACCGCTCTGCAGCCGACGCCAGCCTCCTACACAGGAAGTCCTCACCAACCTAGCGAACTCTTCCCTCTCGGTAATTATTTGTTGGATTGAATGAAAGGGATGTAACCATTCAGAGGATGGTAAAATTCTGCTCCTGGAGATGGTTAACCTTCTAGAAGAGTTTGGAGACTGGCACTCTCTATAGGAAATAGTGCCTACTACCTATGATTTAAAATTTTCTAGTATTGAAACACATTAAATGAATCCTTAAGAATATATTTGATTTAATCTCTCTACAATATTATCTTCAAAGCACATCATCAGTGAGGTAATGTTTTCTTTCTTCATAAATCTTCAAACTGCTGTGTGCTTTATGCTTATAACACCTGTCAATTTGGACAATAAATTTTTTCATCAGAAATACTTGATCCATATTTTGATTTCATAAAAAAAGAGCTTATAAAAGGATTCACATGCCCAAGTGGCTCCAAACATACTCAAGCATTTTCTAACATCTGAATCAAGTATTTGTTTAAGCCATGTTTTGTGTCCAGTAGGCACGTGTGACTAGTGGCTGCGGGATCAGATAGCAGAGAGTTGACCCTGGGTGGGGGCCTCAGGTTTTTTGATTCACAGGCTCCTTCTCCTTCATATTGTGTTATGCTCACAGGCAGGAGTTGCTAAAAATTCCAAGGTAGAAGGAATGCTTGTTCCTTCTACCATTAACCTGCTGCTGGATGTGGGATGTGTGGGAAATG